ATAATAAACACGCTCTTTGCAATTATTTTTGCATCCCGTTGCGCGAGACCGGCTGAACTGGGACGGACTTTGGAGTTTTCAAAGGCAGTTGTAATTTTGTATCTTTTTAACTTTCGTGAACCTAACTGATTATTTTTTGCATCTTTTCTGGGACATAATGGAAACAGTGGTTGAACTCAGGGCTGGCTGATAAAAATAATAAATAAAAACAACAAGCAGCTCTATTTAATCTGGGTTCTATTGTATATTTTGTTCCAACCCAAAGATTTGGATCGGCACATAATTATACTAATATCCTCGAGACCTTGTCCATTGTCGGGATTTGCAAAAATGTGAGATTAAACTTCCTGATTACTTTTCTGCTCTGGCAGAAAGCAGATTTGTTCCCCACTGACGGGGAAAATTTAAGTTTTTTTGATCGTGTAAAAAAGAACTGGTCCGATGTTTCTACATTAATGAAGTTTCTTTTACTTGAGTTCTAGGTTGAATAAAAAACATAAACGAAACTACCTTTATTCGTCTGGCAAACGATTTTGTTAGTCTTCTGGAGAATCTCGTGCAATGTGTTTGACACAAAACAACGAGAAAAAAAATAAGGTAAACACCCAAAGCATTAGCGGATTTAGGGAGTGGTCTCTCCATTTTAAACTAACTGACCCAAAATTTTTTAGGGTGCTACTATTTAATAATTTTGAAGGAAAGCACGTCGGAAAAAACGCGCGCCGCAATAGATTAGCGCCTGACCAAGAGTATGCAATTTGGGATAATTTCAAATCATTTTAACTTGGGAATAAGCCTAATTTGGTGCGGGTGATGCATTTGTCCTGAATTGCGCTTAGAATTGTTTGAGTTTGTGTTTTCTTTCACCAGAAAAATTTCGATTTTTGAACGACTAATTTTTTGACAATTTTTTTTATAGCACTCAGAAAATATTGGCCCCCCAGAGACCAAAACAAGAAAATTTTTAAATTGAGATGGCGTTTTTTTGTCAAATAATAGAGGTACGGAAAGCGCCAAAGTGATCAGTATGAAATAAATAAAGATGGCAAAATCACCAGTATTCTATAGACGCTAGCGCAGGCAGAGAATAAATCCGACTCGGAAATTTTTTTGAAAATAAATATAGCTAGCAAATAGATCCAAGTTTTTTACCAGCTGACACAAAAGTTTATCTCCAAGATCATACCTAACTTTTTCTACACAAATTGTTAAATTCTTTAAACGGCTGTCTCGTGTTTTTTATTCAAACTTTTGCTGAAATTTGGTAAGAAGTTTAAGGAAATACAACAAGACTGCTCATATCAAGGTAAAGCTCTGGGTATTCCGAATGCATCATAATTTCTATGGAGTAGTGTAAGTTAAAACAATTGATTAAATTTTCAAAAAAAATAAATTAAATGTTAAAATTATACCACAAAGTATTTTTTAATGTGCCTGTTCACAGAAAGTTCCGACTGTTGTTATCATAGCAAATAGTTTCAAAAAAAACTCTAAAAAATCTTTTTTGTTCGTTTTTTAAAGTTTGCTGTTTTTGCGGTAACATGGAGTTTCAAAATATAATTCAAAATACAGTTAATGTGCGCTTAAGTATAGTAAATCAAATCAATTGTAAAACAAGACTGATTGCCGACAACTTTTCCTTTATGCAAAAGTTCACACTGACAATAATTTTACGCAAAAAAAGTTGCATCATCAGTTTTGCTATGATATCACGCTTAACGAGTTAAAAGCTGCTTTGAAATACCTAAAATTATGCAGATACACCCGAACTATCCTACAGCTTCATCCTTCTTCCAAGCCAGAATGGAGTGTCGAAAATGAAATAAGGACCAGGATAGCCGGTTGCTGTGTAAGGAGCACAGAGAGCTCCGACCACAATAATGAACGAATTTTCAGTTTCTGTTTTTCAAATTTTGTCGTTTTTTTTTGTGTAATGAAAAGAATCGAGAAAAATCCCAGAGCATAGTTAGATTCGGTAGTAACAAAAACTTAGATATATTCGACGAAAGAAAAAATTATCCTTGTTTATTGAAAAGATGTAAAACTGTGTAAAATTAAAATTTCAAAATTTAGCCTTAAGTGTAAGAATTAGTCATCATAAGAATAAGTGTATGATAGTGTAACTTATCATAATATGTAAATTTATACTTTTCTCACTAAAAAAGAACCTCTAATAAGCAGGGCACTGCAACCAAGTTATAGATTTCTCCCTTAAACAACTTTGTTCACAAAATTGTCAAATTTAGAAATGGCATTTTTACTTATATTTCATGAATAGAGCTCTTGAGTGCTTGCTAATAAGTTGGTAATTTGCGTGTATTGCGTGCTTGCTATTTAGGTTATTTTTTGTTGCAAGCTGTTTTTTTTCGCGCTGCCAAAAATTTTCGGTTCAGTGAAGTTTCAGCTTATTGGGTGTCGAATTAAATTCTGTCGGCTTATTCACCTGATACTTTTTCCTACAATTTCTGGCAAAGTTGAATGATGTTGAGTTAATTCTGACAAAAGTCTTCAAATCAAATTTTTTGACGTTTTTGTAAAAAAAAACGAAGATTAATTTTAATTTACTGATCGAAAATTCGCAATTGTTTCGTCTTTTTTAGTCACTTTCACAATTTGTTTTTTTCAAAATCTTTCAAATCTTCTTGAGTGGCCGGCTGTTTTTATTATATCTTTTTATTGAAGGCCACTGAAATGAGCTTTGGACAGTTTTCGTCTCACCCTTTATATTTTTTTGATCTGTTTTCTGTCAACATTTTTTTTTGTTTTGTTTTCAGTCTTTCCTGCTCAAGTCTGTGAAAGGATGGAATGTGATATCAAATTTAAAACCAAATTTTCATAATTTTTGCTCAAAATCTTAATGATTTTTTGTTTTGAACAGTCTTTTTTGACTTTTTTACTGATAAATTAGTTGTAGTGTTCTCGTCCTCCATAGGTTTTGTGCGTTTCCAATTCAGTTTTAATCAATTTAACTCTTATTTAATTTTTTGATATTTTTTTCACGCTTAACTTTTTTAATGAAAAGTAAAATTGAAACTAGGGTGTTTAATTTACTGCTAGGTTTTCTCTTCGTCTTACTTCTTTGCCTTAGTTGGCTTGGACTCAGTGTTTAGCAATTTAGCGTCTTAGTTCTGTATGAATTTGAGTTATTTTATAACTGGATTCTCGAACAGAAGTTAGTTTTCAGTTTTGAAATTACGTTTTCTGTCTACAAATGTTTTCAGAGACTTAAAATTTTGTCAGTTTCTAAATTAGGTTTGAAAATTGCAGTTCATTATAAAGCTTTATAAAAAATGGCCGTCACATTTTTTCACGGCCCAATAGCGTCTGATTTTTTTTGTCCGCGTAGTTACAGCCCGATAAATTTGGCGCAATACTTTTTATAAACCGGCAATTTTTTTCCTCATCAGGTTTTCAATTAATTAGATCTAATTTGCGATAAACATAAAAATTTCATTTGGTGAGTTTTTTGCAATTTGTCAACTCGGAAGCTTTTTTTCTCATTTTCTCTCAAAAAGCTGCTTTGTATCTGTTGCATCGCTGTTCTCTGTCTGAAAATTGTTTTGCCACTCGAATAACGATTGAAAAGTTTTTAAAATGATATTTTGTAATGTTGATTGTTTGGATGATTATTTTCGACTCCTGATTTTGCGTGGAAAACAAAAACAAAACAAAAGATAGCACAGAACATACCGGTTCAAAAACAAAAAACTAACAAAAAAACAATTTTGATTTTTGAAATTGAGTCGTTTTTTTATTCGCGATGTTATGACAGAGTATTAAAGAAATCGTAGAACTCACCTTTATTCGATTTTGATAATAAAGTAGGTATATTTGACGGCGCAATTCGGCCAAAGACAATGCAGCCAATTTGAAATTCAGACAATTCAGCCAGAAATATACAAACAATTCGGCCAAAGATAATTCAGCCAATTCTACAAAACGCTAGATTTGAAAAAAAAATGGAATTGGAGTTATTTCTCGATTTAAGGTCGCCGGGGGCGCGCTACGCGCGCGTCGCCGCTTTGCGGCGATAACTGGCTCTAAATTTCGTCTAGAGTCCTACCCTCTGTTGGCAAGCTCGCAACACGTTGGCGCGACTGCGGCGGTCACTATTATTGGCTCAATTGTCTTTGGCTGAATTGTCTGCATACTTTTGGCTGAATTGTGTGAATTTCAAATCGGCTGAATTGTCTTTGGCCGAATTGTCTGGACGCGATATTTGACATCCATTTTTCAATTCAGTTTTTGATATTAAAAAACTCTGTGAAGACGCACCAAAAAAGTTTGAGGCATTTTGAGGAGAGTTTGGAGTAAAATTAAGATTTCATGGCTTAATTTGAATTATAAGATCTATTATAATACGTCTATTTTCTTACTTTTCTCGCTCGAAATTGAAGCTAGATAAAAAGCAAAAAATCAATACCATTTTTTCTCGGCACAGAAAATTTTGTTAACACTTTTTGAGTCAATCCAATTACGACTAAAAGCGCTTCAATATGATAATTTTCTCAACCCATTCTGATTATTATTTGTAGTACCTGATTTTGCGTGTAAATAAAAAAACCAAAACACACCCGAAGACCAAGGTTCCTTCCAATGGTCGGAGCAATTTCTGCTTTTTGTAGAATTTTATCTTTCCATCGACTAATAACATTCTATACGCATAAAAATTGGTCAATGAAAAACATACTGCCCATAAACAATCAAATTGTTTGCTGTTTTATGGAACATTTCGTTTGATACTATCTGTAAACAGTTGTGTGCAGGCTTTGTATTATCACGAAAATAATCTAAATTCTGGTTTAACTTTCTCGTTTTTAAAGTCCAAATTAGCCACTGCTTTCAGCGTTTTGTTTTTGAATTGGGGCACAATTAACATTTTTGGCTCAAATATTGAATATTTTTAAAATAATGAGGAAAAATCGATTGACATAGCGTACTTAGTTTTGTTTGAATTATACAAAAACAGAAAAACAAGTTAGGAGATGCCACAAAAGCAAGCAGAAAACTGCGGTGCGATTAAAGCAATTTGCTCCAAAAAGAGGGAAAAAAACAGTTAACGAGTACGGAAAAAATTCTCAGCCCCGGAAAAATTCCCTCAAACGCGCTCTACAAAAACTAAATTACTCCTCAATTTTCCTCTGATTTATTCCCATAAATAGCACCAGTTTGGTTGGAAAAATAAACAAAAAACATTCCAAACAACAATTTACTTCATCTTTTCAAGCTCGAAATTGGAAAAATGTGGCTTTAAAGAAACGGGAGTGCTGTATAGTAATGCCGAAATTTCTTTAATTATGTTTGAAAAACAGGAAACGCATGAGCGCAAATTGCGTTTTGTTGGAACACCATTAATCAACAAAACTCATCTCCCAGTTTTCAGTTTCCTGCTTTGTGCCAATTTTGCTCTTCATATTTTCACTACCTGTGCTTTCTTTTCAATCCAATAATTGACTCACTAGTTTGGAAGCTTCATTGAAAAACACAAAATTTCAATTACCTTTGCATATTTCGATTCCTGTGGAAAGAAAAAGGTAATTTTGTTTTCTTTTTGTTCCTAAAAGACCCAGCATTGACCGCGTGAAAAGATTAAAGCGTCTGCTGAATTAAGATACAGGGGAACAAAAAGCGGAAAAATCGGATGAAGCTCCAAAACTACAATAGATAATAAACGAAATGCAAAAAAGAGAGGTTTTTGTTGGCTTAGGAGGAATGTTTTTACTCTGCTGTAATAGAAATGTGAAAACCCAACCAAGCCACTTAATCCGCACAGTTTTTCCATAACGGGCTTCTTTTGCATTAGATTCCCAAATTGTGAACCCATTTTTGAAATATGTTTTTTTTTGGTTTGGATAATTGTTACCCGCACTTAGTTACGGCTGCTAGGGGAAATCGTCAATTGACGGGTTCGTTTTGGGTTGTGTTTGGTTGATTTGCGCGCTCATTTAGAAAAAAAACAGGGGAAATCTAACAATTATCCAAGATTGTTCCTGTTATACTTGACTAGCTTCCTCATTACAATTTTCCCATTTATTTACTTTTTCTGGTGCTTCCCAAAATTGGTTTAAGAAATAATAAATAGCTCCTCACTAATGCAGCGCAACAATTACCGCGAAATTAGAGCGGCGAATGTTTGCTTTTAATTCCCTTGTAATCGGGCCGTACCCCTTCAAGACTCGCCGGTCGGTTGGGTTGGGATGGGATGGGTTGACCGGACAAGACAATCGACCAATTGAATTGCCCAAATCCAAAAGCAATTCCTTCAGCCAATTTCCATCCTCTGCTTTGCTTTGCTTTGCTTCCCAATTTTCCATTTTCATTTTCACCTCTCATTTCTTTTCAAAATATACAAATACAATAACGCAGCTCACTTTTATTTATAGTATTTCCCCGCTATCCTCATTTCTCCTCTTTTCTTTCTGCTTTACAGACCTCCCACCTTGATTGCTTATATTCTGTTGCCAGCAGAAAAATAACAAAGTCAAAATTTCGATAAATTTGATTTTATTCACAACAGCTGATTTAATCGGGTACGTTTTTGGTTTCAGCTTGAGGCAGAATTTTCGATAGTTTTCTTTAGATATTGATAACATTATTCTTAGTTTTGTTGCAACACATTGTCCTGTTTTGCTTTAAAATTTTCTTCCCGAAAATCGTTTGTTTGCATTTTCGAGTTAAATTTCAAATTGAACTTCCGCTCTGAAAAATTTTACCGTAATCATCAATTTCAAGTAAGAAAGAATTCGTTCGCTGGAATTTGATGCGCTGTCAAAAGTCCAAAAGATTTCAGTTCGAAGCCAGTTTTTCAGTGTGGTTTTTTACGCTTTCGAGTTTGGTCACAAGTTCATTTCATTTTGAAGCGTTTTTCAGCGGTTGTTCACATTTATTCTACAGGATAAAACAAGCATAAAAATCCACTCCAGGTTCGAATTCGGAAAAATTATCAGTCGGTTAGTTCGTTTTATGTTCTTTCGTCCAGTTGTTGTCACTAGAATTTGTTTTTGGATTATCGTGAGAACAACTCGTTGAATTGCTTGTCAGATCCTAAATAAACCCTGGCCTAAACAAAAGAATCCAATAAAACCTGCTATTTTCAGTTTTCCAAAACGTTTTGCAAATCATAAAACAAGTTCTTAATAGGTTAATAACTACTTAAGATATCTTCAGTTGTTGTTAAAATATGATTGATACTCCTAGCTAACACCAAACCTTCTTTTTAAATAGTCTTGTTTTAAATTTTGGCCGTTCTGCATTTTGTTTTTCTTGGCGATTAGAATTCGGGGCTGCTTACCGAATGAATCAAAGCTGATTTGAGCCGATCTTCATAAACAAGTACTTAACAACGCTAATTGAGCGGATGGATTTCTTAGCCCGCTCCCGCCTTTCGAATCTACCTTTGAAATTATTGACGATATCTTAACTGATTCAAAATAACGGTTGCAATTGCGCAAATTCCATTCATTTTTCATCCTAAACTGCAACAAGTTAGCAAAAATCACCGCCAAATTTTTATATAAACAAAAAAATTGCGAGGTAATTAAAATAAATTGCCTGTTTCAGCATCAAGTTTCAAGCTGATTTGTGGTTGACTAGTCGCGACGATTAGAAAAAAACCGATATGTCAGTATTTCAAATGGTAAGAGCTCAACTGGGCGACAACCTGCTGGAGCGAATTTGCAAGCGACACAATGACAACAAGCAGACGTTTTTCGAACTACTTCAAACGATGACCGGGGTCAAAATTGACCCTCAGATGAATGCTGACTGCACATACGTCATTGAAGGAACTTGGGAAGCCCTGGAAAGGTGAAAAAAAAAAATGAAATAATCATTGAAATTTCTTAATTTTAGAGAGAAGAGCTTACTCTTTTGTGACTAAAAAGTATAGTATTTTTTGAAGACTTGTATTTTTTACGGTATTTTGCTATGATATTTTCCGAATTAGTGATAAAACGATATTCGAAGTACGAAGTATTTTTATTAACAAATTGAAGCGACTGGAGTTATTAGTTTTTTTTGTTTGTTTTAATTGACAATATTGTTTTTTTCAGATGTCACACCGTACTGTACAAGTACCAAGCAGAACTGTGTGCCGAAGAGTTGGCAGATTTGGGAGATCAACAGCAGTACCCTCTCTTGACCCCCAACAGTGTCCACTTCTCGTCGCAATCTAAGAAGCCGAGTCCCGACAGCACCTCCTGTGCACCCTTGGAACCCATCACACCCAACTCTTCCTTCAACCTCTGTTCGGACAACAGGTAAAATAATAATAATAAATAGTATAAAATTTTAGAGTCTTAAATTTATTATTTTTGGTCCGTATTTCTGACACATTATTGTTTCACCAAAATCCCAAAAAATGAATGGAACCTTCAATTTCAAAAAGTAGTAACTTTTTTTTATTTGCTGTTTTTGTTTTGTTTCAGAATGCCATCGCCCGTGATCAGCGCACTGTCGCTCAGTCAAGCCCTCTACGATCGCTCAGCCAACTCCCCTGTCGTCTCTCGTGGACTCGACCTCTCCCTCAAAAGTATGACTCACCCTCTTGGTCTTTTCGGCAGCGTGACTGCGGGTGGGCAAATCTCGCCTCCCACAGCTATCAGTACCACCGCGATACAGACGGCGGCTCTCAATTTAGCTTCGGTTGGCTGTCTCCCTTTGGGAGGTCATGGAAATTTGTCGAATGGAATAAGTCATCAGCTTGAAGCGTCAGGCGAAGATGAAAACGATAATGGAAGCTTCGACGAGTGCTCGGACTACAGTAATGACTCACCGGTCGATATTGAGTCGACAACTACATCGAATAAAAGTGCGCTCGATTGCCTCATGGGTAAGCTTGAACTTCTATTTTGTAGAACGCATACCCCCAAAAAATATTCTTTTTCAGTTGTTCTGGAATATAATCAATCTTCGATAAGTCTGTTTTCAAATATTTATTGCGTTGTTTTTGCCGTTTAATGTAATTTTGAAGTTGGCAAATTTTTAATTTACTGTTTTTGGTTTAGATATGAAGATTGAACCTCCAAATATCAAATGTTCAGACTCGCAATTTATGGTTTCTTCGCCGCAAAGCGAAGCCGCTCTGAGCATCAATGGCGATATGCATCCAAATGTGAGATCAAAAACACCCAACTCAATGTCGTCAACAGTTGTGAGACAACGAAAGCCGAACTCTGGCTCGAGAAGCCGACCAGTAGCGGGAGGAGGAGCGTCTCCGTCGCCGTTCATGCCGAACAAGACTGACCAGACAAAAGTGCACCCTTGTCCTTTCTGTCCTGTGACCCTGGGGTCAAGCATGAACCTGAAGAAACATATCCAGAGAAAACATAGCACGCCCCTTCACAAGGTTCAGAATCAGCTCATTTGTCCAATTATAATTTTTTCAAGAATAAGTAAGAAAAATAAATTTGTACCAGAAAAAAAGACCAAAGAGTTTTATTTGTTGAAGATCTTGTAAATAATATTGTTAATAGTCAACTCACATGTTCTAATGAGAAAAAAAACTAAATTCAGATTAAAAATACGAAACATTCCCCAGCACCAATTACAAAGTCTTTAGTTTTTTTAAACAGATGTTATTAAAGGTTTATGAGGAATTTGTTTTTTACTTTGACAATGATGACTCTGATATTGTGTATTTTTACCTAAAGCTATTCATATTTCGGCAGATATCGTAACTCCTGCTGGTTCGTTGTTGCGAATTGGGACGAAGATTTGGTTGGTATGATTATTTGTGAAAGAAACAACAACACTCACACAAATGCGTCGCTTTCTCTCTTTCTATTTAATTTGATCCGAAGTTTATCTCTTTCTAACACAGATTGGGCCTGATGTTTTTGCATACTTACGCATTACTTTTCGATCGCAGAATAGTTTTCATCCAAGTATCGATAAAAATTGAATCAGAATTTATAAACAGCTTTTTCTGCATGATGCCAACTCTAACTAACATCTATAGCGTTTTAATTAATCAGTGTGCTTTCTTTACACGATTTATTTGATTTAAAGTTTTTAGTTTGGTGCAAAAACGACTGTTTTTCCGTTTGCAATATCCTTGAGAACATTTTATGTTCGAAATCATCAAAAAGCGGTTGATTGCAACAAAGTTAAATGCATGGTTATTGAGTTGCAAGTTATCGAATTGTAGATGTATACTTAGAAATGAAATGTCTGCTTGATTTTAGTGCGACATTTGTGGAAAAGCGTATGGCTTTGTGAACGATCTTCGTGAACACAAAAAGATCCACTTTTTGAATCTGCCTTGCAACCAGTGTGACAAAGTGTTCAAGTCACGCAGATCACTTCTCGGACACCTGAGCATCGCGCATAAAGACAGCGGAGTCCCCCCTCCCCCACCCCCACCGTCGGGAAACTTCACCTCGCCACTCAGCCAACCGAACACAACCGAGACAATATCCCGAAGCAGTACTGCAACCTCATTGGCTAATGGGATAACTCGACCCGATTTCACCGAGTCGACAGCGCAGCAGCAACTGAACTTGAGTCTTTACTCTTCGTTAAGTGCTATCAACAGTTACTTCTCGGGAGCAGGATTAGACGTTGATATAATGAATGGAACCTCGTCACAGCCCGAGAAAACGTCCCCATTCCCGACCAATTCAGTCGCGCAGAATTTGCTTTCCGAGTTTGACAAACGTCTCGGAATCATGTCGTCGACAACAAACGGCAACATCATCAGTCGGTCGATAGCAAATTCAGTCGTGCCGACAAGTGCAAGCCTCGGGGATGTTTTGAATCTGACCAAGTCGGATTTCTCGGAGAATTCCTTAAAATCGACATATAAAGACGAAGCGGCCCCGAAACCTCTGAGATCGGCGACTCCGATGGAAGTTTCCGTTCAGTAACTATTGCCAAATTATGTAATCACATTTCATCAATCAACGTTCAAACTAAACTGTCTTTTCTGTTAAAAATAACTTTGATAATTTATTTTTGTGTGCTGAACTCTAAGCGACAATCAGTACTTATAAGATATAATCTATCATTTCCTTGCCGGCTAACACTCTTGTTAACATTTATTAATTTATTAATTACCTAACCAAATTTGGTTCATGTTGCAATACTGGTGATCTTAACTTTGTAAAATATCATGATACATTTTAAGTAAAACCTCATGTGGCAAAATAACTCGCCCAAGGGCGAGGATGTTAAATTAAATTGATGTTTAATACATTAGCATAAATCTTTTCTTCGAACTTTGAATGTCCCAAGAATAATTGAGTTCTATCAAACGCTATCTGCTTTGACCAATTCAATGTTTACCAACACTTATTTTATCCAGCCATTACCGTTTAATAAGTTAATTGTTTTATTCTGACGGACGACTCAAGGAATGGCAAAAACTGTGAATTAGCCTGGTTTGTGATCCCCGCACTTTTGGAGCCTCCATGAAGTTTCTAGGTGGTCAAGTGTGTAATTATATTGGAGTCGCAATCTCAGGATGCCTCAGTTTAAGTTACTTCACTCTCATGAAAGAATTGTCTGAATCATCGCGTCTAAGATTTTCTAGAGGGAGGAAGAAGGGGTTCAAAAGAATTTCAAGAAAAAATTTTCGACCTTGAGGTCGACGAAATGATTGTAAGCTGCTCCAAAAACACCATAAAAGTCCTGTTGGAAGATAATTTCTGGCCGCAAAAAAACAGCCAAAAAATTATATTTTAGATCAGGGCTGAATCTAGGATTTTCTCAAAGAGGCCGAATTTTAAAAATTTTGTCGGCCTTTTTTTAAATCGACAAAATTGATTTTCCGAGTGTTCCCAGAACACTATAAAGACCCTACTTTGACCAAAAAGGTTGCGTCGCAGGCAATGTTTGGAAACTAGATCAAAAAAGCCGGGCACTTGGGATTTTTGAGGCAAAAAAAATTCGTTTGTGCGCGGTGCCCTTTAAAATTAAAACTTACTGATGCCGAATACTCCACCCCTTCTAAATCAGCCCTTTTTTTGGCGAGGAATTTATCTCCAAGTTAGTACAAACTTGCGCAAAAAGCGCCTTTTAAAAAAATTCAAGGTGGATTGGTCGATATTTGGTGTCGTGAAAAAACACCAAAGGACCCTGTGGTACTGCACAAGCAGTAACCTTGACAGTAATTTTATTTATGTATATAATGAAAGTACTATACTTTTGGTAAAGATCACCTAGTATCAAACCATGTAATTAATAAAACGCGATCATAGTTTCTTATGCTTGAGCAAGACTCAGCAGCTCCCTAGCTATGAAAACAGCAGACGTTCTGAAAGCGTAAATTAAAGTCCAGAAGAAATGAATAATAATTTCATCTCCTAATTCTTTAGAGTATCACATGGCGCAGCCAGCAGGGTTCCATATGCAGGATAGTTGAACAGACATGGGATTTCCAGTCTTTTGACCAAGAGCTAACTCAGACCCACCATGGCAAGTCAATTTTTAGTTAGAACTTTTTTTTGATGGTGGTGACAATTAAGGAGAATGACAATACAGAACTGCTATTGGAAGACCCAAAAGATGTGATAGAAAAACCATCAACTTCGCCAGAATCCCCCAAAACGCGAGAAGATGCGACTGCACTGGCAGCGAGAAAGCTAAGAACCAAATTAGCACTTGATAAATGCATTCAAGAAAATGATGAGAAATAAGCCAGAGGCCCAAAGGTTGGACACAACGTATTTTACTTTGAAGAACAACGATAAGTAACACGACTGTTTTTTTGGCACTAGGAATTGAGAGTAAAAAGATTCATGCATTAAAATCCTGACGAAGAAAAATCAAAAATAACCATTAGACAGTTTATAGAAATGGCTAAAGTGGCATTCGAAAAAGTGAAAAGTGTAACTTACGGACGATATAAATTGTTCAATAGAATACTGAAAACAACGACAAGGAGAAGCACTAGAGGCGTTCTACGCTGCACATACTGCCTAAATAGCTAGATCGGAATTAGGAACAATAGAAGATTATTTATTCAGAGATCTATTCACCTCGAGAATGAAAAAAGTGATTTTGCAGGACACTTTAGCATTTGAAAAATTAAACTCACAAAAGATATTCAAAAGAGCGATAATATTCAAACATAATCAACAAATAACATCAGCATTCCAGAAAACAAACTCATTGACTGCAGGAGCAGCTTAAAAAACATCGATCCAAGGTGCAAAACAAAACAGAAACCACCAATGGCAGTCAAGAACACAAATCAGAGAGAATACTGAGATGAGGATTCCAACGAAAGACATGCAAACAATGAAACTACAAGAAATAACGGGAAAAAGAAACATTGTAACCGTTGCGATAGATCGTTTACGGAGGAACACCTAAAAAAATTCCCCAAATTTAAAAATATCCAACCTTGCAGTAAAGCCATTTATATTGCAAAATTTTGCCGCTCTGAACAGTGTTGTGAATTGGCGGAGGAATCCTAAGCATTAGACACTGAATATAACCTGGTGGAAGGTTTCCAGGATCGTCTCGAATATGAAATTATGTCATTAGGGAAAATTCAGACTAATGTTTGAAATTGATTAGCCAACAAGGCCAACGGTGAGTAGAACATATTACGGTGAGTAGAACAAGGACTTTTGGCAAAAATAGACATCACAAGAGACATCACATCGGTGAGTAGAACATATTACGGTGAGTTGAATAAGGACTCGTGGTAAGGATAGACATCACAAGAGATTCAAAGAGGATCAAGATGAAATCACTAAAAGCAATAGTCTAAATTGACCGATATATCAACCATTTGACTGTATATACAGGTAGTGGAGAATCATTTTTGAAATGGGCAATGACGAAACAAACCAAGGATGTATCGAAAAAGCCTTTTCCAAAGAAACTGAAATTACCTGCGCACTTTGTGAACTATAAAAAAGGTTATTTCCAGATTCTAGGAGCTTTAAAGACAAATCTAGGCTCCGCGAGATGGGAAGTGGAAGGGGCAATCCTCCTAATAACATCAAAAAAACGAGGTGCATCTTAAGCTTGGACCTAATAGGCCAGTTTGGGATTTCTACAACGCAAAGGACAGCGCCCAGTGAATTGTTGGGGTTTGACGTGCTACTGTACAAGCAATCGAAAGGTTGGATAACAAAATTTTTTAAGCAAATTCAAACAACTATTTGTAAGACAGCGAAGGTCGAAATAATCACGCATTTTCTTCAAAATTTAAGTACCCATTTTGTCCAATTTAAGAGAAGGAGAGGAGAATCCCCAAACATATAGGAGACCAAGCTCGACTGGGAATAAAAGACTACTAGATGAGGGCCAAATTGATAAATTAGATAAATAACTAAGCGACTGCTTCATCGCAGCAATTGTCATTACCGTTAAAAAAGACGACTCGATAGTCAATCAAGTTGGCATTAGAAGCTAAGCCAATCAACAAGCAATTTTTTAAGAACAAATACCAGATGCCTAATATCGACGAGTTGCTAGATCGCGTGAGCCAAACCGCTGCAGGACATCAACATTGAGAGCTATACTTTTTGGTGTTACAACTAAAATATGAGAGCAGTCGATTGAAATTAACTGCAGAAACACCTAAATCGTGTAATATCAATATAGTTGGGTGCAATGCACCAAGCACATACAGATTCTTAAAGGGTTTTTGTGGCCTGGCAGAAATGCCAAAAGAATTTCAAAAAAAGTTGGACCGAACCATTATTAAAACCCAAATACATTTTGCTTCATGAATGATTTTCTAGTGGTGTGTAAGCAAACAGAAAATGAACTTGAAAAGTTAGTCAAAATGGTAATGAAAAATAAGGAGGAAAAAGTTTTGTTTCTAAAAATCACGAAGTGTGAATTTTTTCACAAAGAAAGTAGGCTAACTAGGAGACCATCTATCAGAAAGTCATGTTATTCCTAGAATATCAAAGATCGAAGCAAACATAAAACTTAGCCCACCTAAGACTTTGAAACAAACAAGGTCATTTTCAGGTAGATCAGGTAGATGAACAAAAATATTTTTTCACCCCAACGCCGCTAGTCTCACAGAAAAACTAAGACTGTTGCTAAAGGAAGAAAATATAAAGGAAGAAAATATAACAGACGGAAGCATTGGAGGAGGAGGAGATAACCGAAAAAGTCCATCGAACGACAAAGGCTGTCAGAGTCAGTAGAAGAACCTTCTCCTTTTCCAACCGTGGCGAGTCGGGTTTGAGGTCGCCCTCAACATTACGACAGGGGACCTGGAAGCCATCACACACGAGATACTAAAGGAGGCGGAAAGTCAACAAGAAGTTACTACAGAGCTCACAGGACCCATCATGGAAGTAGACCTAGCCATGGGCGAGGAGGGGAACAAAAAATACAATTGGTGGACCCAAATTGGCGAGTAAGCTAGCTAACGAGAAATGAAGCACACAAACTGCGGGAGCAGTCAGAAGATCAGGGACTTTCACAGCTATCACGCCTCTTCGATGAAAGTCTACCAGCAGAACTCACGACAGGATATGTGGCTAGACAAAATGCGGAGACTGATCGAGAGGGGAGACAGATAAGACTTCGAGCTGATGGGGCCGTGCACAAATCCCCTCTGGAACCAGATGGCAGTGGTGGTTGGCTGTATCTTTGTGGACAATAGACTCGCAGTACAGTTTTTGCTGAGACCAGCCGTCCTAAATAGAATACACCAAAAACATCTGGGGCGAGAGGCGACGCTGAACTTTTCAAACTACTTACGGTGGCCGCATATGCACTAGAATATTGTCAGCTTCATGGAAGAATGCCGCAATTGTACGCGATACGGTAAGAACGCTAAATACTATATCCCTGAAAAATTGACGAAACCTTTCTCACCCCTCTCATTCACAATCACGTCAGGAATTGCAAATAGACTAGGCAGAGCCCATTGAAAACCACAAGGGGACGAAAATATACTTACTAGAAGCAATAAATAGATTCTCTAAAATTCCGTCTGTTAAAGTGACTAAATCAACGCGAAGCAAGTCAAGCATAGAATTCTTACATTTGTACATTGATACCAACGGAACCTCTGAATCAATTAGAGCAGATCAGTTCTCGGGATTTAAAGTGAACGATATGAAACGCTTCTTTACAAAACTTAATTTCGAACAAAAGTTGTGTCCAGTGGGGGACCATTGTCCAGTGGGGTTGTGGTGTGGTCGAAAGAACTCTACAAATGATAAAACGGAGACTGGGAGTAGTGCTACTGGGCTAAACTACTAAGTCAATAAAACGTAATCTTAGCACAAAATTCAGAGACTTGAGATGGAACAAACAAAAAACCATCCAAAAATCTCCATTTGAAGCTTATTTCAG